GAGGATTCGAGAAAAAGACATGGCCAGAGGAAGACAAGGAAAGTCAATGCAGGAGGAAGACAAAGTTGAACTGCCATAGTGATGGGTTTCTTCTACTGAAGAAGATGAAATTGCCTGATACAAAGACGGCGATTTTCCACAAGTTTATCGGCATGAAAGAGTGCAGAAATAAGTGCCTTCTAAATTGCAACTGCACGGCGTTTGCAAGTATCGATACGCCGAGTATCGAGCTGGGTTGTCTGATTTGGTTAGGGAAGTTAATCGATTTAACAATTTTCACAAAGGAGGGTCAAGATTTGTATGTCAGACTGGCAGCCGTTGATCTTGGTACGTATATTCTATACCTTGGTATCAGGATTGCAATAAATGTTTTTGGTTGAGTATTAATTTACAAGAATCATCGTGTATTTGTTGTAGAGGAGGCGAAAGGAACAAGCGGAAACCCCCAAGGTTTGATCGCTGGAATTACCCTCCTGATTGCCCTGGTTATTATTATATGTCTTCTAATCTACTGTCTATGGATCAAAAGACAGAAACGAGCAATATCAAAAGGTAAATAAACGAACATTAGCTACAATGACCTATTTTTTTTTTTTTAAATAGCTAGAATAATTTTACTATTTTTTTATTGTTAAAATAATTTATTCTAAACTTTTTTTATTTTATAATATCAAAATTGAGTGGTAGCAGACTCTACCAAAATATTTGCAGACTCTACCGAGACATTGGTAGACTAGCAGACTGTCTCCCAACATTTTAGAAAAAAAATTAAAGTGTCATGTGTTATTTCAGCAAATTAATAGCTTATATATTAATAGGGGACATCTGGTTTGACATTCTGAAAGTTTTATTAAATTTAAAAAATGACCCATGTTTTGAAAATAACATTCTCTTTGGATTAAAAGACAATAATATACTCATTTAAGAATTTTTAATAAAAATACATATATCAATGTTCTGAAACCCGGACCGGACCGGGCAGTCGAACCGTGAGCCGGTTATATCTCTGGCTCGAGTTTCATGAAAAAATCGGTATGTAATTGGACCCGTAAAACCCCAAAAAAATTGCTTCAAACCGGTGACTCGGACCAAAACCGGACCCGCCGGTTTCCGGCTGCAACATAATTTGGTTCAAAAATTTCACGCATGGATGGATCTAAATCACATGTTCGTTTCTTCTATAAATTGTTGAGATCATCTATAAAGAAGAGTTAAAGAAGTTACAGAAGTTGCATAGTTCTATTGCATACGATACAGAGAAATAGAAAGGGGCAAAAGGGATAGGTAAAATCAAATTACTAAGGCTTAATTATTAGGG